TTCACTGCTTTTTACTTAGTGTTGACAGTTTGTCACTATTATACATAACATTGAAATGTCAATTCTTTACAGGTGGTAATGGATGGGTTCTGGTGTGACACTGACAGTGGGTGCTACATTATTTTAACACAGTCTGGGGATAATCACCTTTCCTGCAAGAAAAAGAAAGTTGGAAGAGTCAAGATAAATTCTAATATTGTAACCATTGTTATGTCTGTAAATCATTTTGCATAGATCAATAAAAATATTTTTTTTAAATTTACAGGTTTTTGGGTAGTTTTTAAGGCCTATGCGTTTTTTATAAGAAACAACACAACATCACCCAGAGTTCTTGAATTATATTTTGAAAAAACGCCATAAAATTAATTCTGATAGCCAACTAAAGCATTCTGAAGCTTAGTGTGTGTATGCAATAATACATAGAAAACTGTTTCATAACTAGAGAACTGAACTGAAAACAATATAGTCAGCTATCTCAAGATAAGGTCATGTACATGCATTAGTAATCCAAACATTCACCAACACAAATATGAAAAACAACCCAATTTATTTTTTTCCCTACTTTTATTTGCTTGTCAGTTTTTATTTTCCTGTGTGTATTTTTATTCTCATCTTAATTGTTTGTTTATCTTTATTAACGCAATAAAGATAATTATTATTTCAAAAAATAGTCTTATATTTTGGTTTCACGTGTAATGTAATGTTGACCTACAAAACACTTCGCGGCAACTTCGCTTTGATTTGATAATACATGGTATAGTACTAAGTAGGCTCTTTTGCTGGTCATAATTTTCAAAGTAAAAGTGTAATTTATTAAAATAACATTAGCATTGAAAACAATGAATACCGTAACAGTGTTATGATTGTGTTTACGTACCTGTGGGTGCCGCCGATTAACATCGGAACTAGTATCACTGCTAGTTACCGTTGTATCTGTTATCTCATATTTATCCGGCCCTCCAAACGTTCAGAAGTCTCAGAAACTGTTTCTGGGGTATCATTTTCTTTCATAGAACGAACTGATGCCCGAAGATGACCTCATTCATCAACCGCTGGCTTTTATTCGCCATGCTGTTTAATTGCACACGGTCCACTTGAAGTGGTCACGTGATGAAATTTGCGACATTATTGTCGCAAAAGATTTCGCCACGAAGTAAGTAATGGGTCGTTAAGGTCAATCAGCCTCTTTACGGTAAAAACAACGCAACTACGTAATTGTTTCATTAAATTGGCAGGAAAAAAATGTTGCGCCCAAACTGGCGCACAGTGTTATGAATAACGCGTCAACTTTGATTTTTTTGCGCAAATTGCGCAATGGCGCAGCCTAGATCAAACACTGGAATTGTTGGCAAAACTTAGTTGAAAGCTCTTTAATTTGAGTTTTTGAGTTACATTGATCGAAAACTGATGTTTTATGCTGTTATCTACAAGGTTATTTTATATTCTTTACTGCAATAAATCATGTCTGTTTGAATGTGCATAACACAATTAATATAGGAATTACATAATACATAAGTTCAAAGTTCATTTGGATGCATTTGTTACATGAGCAAAATCATCTTAAAATGAATAAATTCAAAAGGAAGGTACCTCACAGCGATACCGAAAACAATTGAAGATTTTAGCGTGCATCTCCGACTAATGAAAAAATGCCTCACATCAAATAACGTAAATACAGCCAGTCTTGAATCATTAAACAGAAAATCCCGAATTGCGATTCAGTGACATGATGGCACCCTGAAATGCAGAAAATTCAATCACACCCGAACTACAAATTTGATTGGTGATGTTCGACTATTGGCAAGGTAGATATTGTTACTACTATACATGTAGCTGTTGGATTTATTACAGTACACACATTACTTAACATATCAAAGGTTTCAAACACAATTTTGCCAACAATATACAACTTTAAGGTAATTTAATCAAGGTTTGCCTTGTAACTGGAAGCCCTCTCAATTCTGAAGAATGAGTCCTGTTAATGATATTAGGTCAACGAAGAATGTATTACTTAACATGGTACATTTGTATACTGGTATCAGTAAGATTCATTACTAAACTACATTAAGTGATACATGTGTGCATTTTTAGAATAACAATAAAAAACTCAGGTAGACTGTGAGGGCAGTCTTACATTTCCCAGAAAACCACTTGTGTAATGGCATAATAATTGATTGCTACTGTACCACATTATTAGACTGCATGATCAAATACACTGCTCTGATTGGCTAAAATAACATGTGACTAATGAATATTCATGAGGGTGAAATTTTACAAAAGCCATTGTGTCTTAAATTGTATTAATTTCCTTTACTTATAAAAGCACACATCAGTATCCTTACTGTTATTGTATTTCTCTAGGGAAGACTTTGATTTGCATATCTTGTTGTTTCTTTGCCTTATTTTATATAAAAAATGTGATAATAAAAATGAGAGGAAAAATTTAATATGTACTCCAAAGAAATGAACATAAACTTGCATTTACATGTATTGTATTCTGGATCATTAAAATATGACTTATTATTTTGATCATGAAAAAAAATGTGCAACTAATAGACTAAATATGGTATATACATAGATCTCTATATCATGCAGGTGAGATAAAGCTATGTAATTATTATTCATATAAATCCCAGTAATCTGATTGGTCCACTGCAAGCAGACAGAAGATTTTTTTCATGGCTGAGTCTCAAGATATAGCCAACATTATAATAGATTGGTGGTTTACACCGTATTTCTCAAGAAATTTTAAGAAACTGTTTTTGTAATCTGAATATTTATAATAGTTTCAGGTATCAGTTGAAGTATGTTTGTATAATCAAGCTGTACATACACAAGGCACCATTTCTGATTTTCTAAATGTCAACATGTCTGCACACACATGTACGCTTTCCCTCATGTCTCGTGGCCATTTCTTATGGAATGTGCAAAAGAAATGGCTTGAATTCATTCTTTAGTAATCATGTCCTTGAAATCACATGGGTAAATATTCTAATTTCGGATCAGTTTCATACTTTCACTGAAAACAGTATGGTTAATTAAGTGCCAGAAACTCATAAAACACTGAATTTTACTGAAGAGTATTTTTAGAAACAAAGTGATATTGTGATCATTTATCATTAAATGTAAATAAGACAAAATACAGTATCAGTAATATTCCAACATTTTATTATGGCAAAAAGGACGATTAGTAAATTTATGATCAATATTAAAATAATCCTACATCTTGATATTCTATTTTTAGAGTTAATTTGCATATTCAAAAGCTGATTTGCATATTTATGATCTATCACACTTTATTTAGACCATGACACCTTCCATGTTCAGACATAGGCTTCACCAAGCATCTCCATATCAAATCTTGCAGACTTGGGGCAATTAGTGGCAAAACAACTAAATTAGGATATTCACTATTAGAGCATCTTAGTTTAATCAGTCAATGTCAACTATTACAAATTTTATCTTCGCTATTTTCGCTAAAGGATAATTCAGTAAAACTAAATCCAGCAAATATATATTTTTTTCTACATTCAACTCATCAAAATAAATCAGTGAAAATAAATTCAATAAAAAAACCCAAAAATTATATACTGTGAGTATTTCACAGTACCTTTCAGACATATACAAGAATTATGCCATGAATACCGGAATTACCAAAAATGCACTGTGGCTAATAAAATCAAATGGTCCTGTAAATAGCTCCCTCTATTGACCATATGGACTAATACTTTGTTTTTATAGATGAGCTCACCTTTTATAATACACCTGTGTATTTTGATGCAGATTCTTGACTTTTCTTTTCATTATTTCAGCACAAGTGACTGTTTTAGTAACTGACTGACCAGATCCATTCCACACAATTTTCTTCACCTTATCTTCCTGAATACAATTAGAAAAAGATCTTACCGGTAATACTGTGAGCGTAGGTCATCAAATCACCAACACTACTCTATTCAGAGACATTAAAAAGCACAACTTTTTTTTAACACTGATAGATTTGCAAACTATCAATTTGCCTAAACTGCATCAACCATGTATCTTGAATGAAAGGCCTTTGTTTTGTGGTCAGCTGTGTGCTGGTAGATGATAACCAGTTGTTGACACTCAAAAGGTATAAAAATAGTGTTGCTCACTGCAGATGTTAATAATTCTCTATCTCTCATACTGTATTCGAGTATTCATGCGTTCTGAGTGATAAAAAACAATTTGGGCAAATTTTGTGACCTAGTACTGTTTCAGAAATGCCGTTTATTGACAGAGAAGCCAATGCTGGTTGGCATATCGTAAAAAAATGACGTCACAGAGCCAGAGTCAATATTGTAGGACATTTTACAAAGTAGACCACAATTCTTTAGCAATTTGTGTCAAGTGTTACATAGAAAATAAATTAAATGTAAACTGTTTTGCTGCAAGAATTATTTAAAATTTACAAATTAGTATCACTGCAATATTTTTTTGTACACCAAAACAGCATCATTGTCAGTTAAGTTGGTGACTGGTTTGCTATGGGTGCCTCAGGAATGCTACATGATTGGTACTGGTCAAACTGTCAGGTAAAGAAGATGCCAAACTAAGAATGGGGAGAGACACATTGAATAGCAACAGAATTAATTTCCCCTTCATAGAAAGGTTTTCAAAATAATTAAACAAAATGTATGTACTGAGTTGGTCTTGAATGTCCAGACATGGCCTTATTCTACATAAAGGTGTTGTGTTGTGGTCATGCTTTGCATTCCCAATGTATGCTAGAGTTCTATAAAATTGTAAGGTGATCATCTTCATTCTGAAGAGTGGTTTGAAAGTTACACCAGTCTCACTCAAAATCAATTGTGTTGTAATGACCAATTTTGGCTGAATGCTGCACCCTTATTAAAACAGTTTGATCAAACCAGTACTAGTAACATAACTACTTCGAAACATGCATAGCAAACCAGTCAGCAACTTTGGGAATAGTGCTCAACTTCACTGGTGCAAAACATGATGAATGCACATACATCTTAAAACATTCTTTCTCATCAACTTCTAGATGAGAATTATGCTTAAATCTGCCCAACTAGTAAACTATTAACAAAATTGTGTTCTACATATATATAATGAAAATAACAAAGAAGTAAATTACCGGTACTCCATACTCTGATTATATAAAAGATCAACTTCACAGAGATGCATCACCATCAGATGTGATTTGCAATCTGAAATCTGAATTCCGATTTTATTTCTATTTACCCAAAGCCACATAATAATGACGCAAGACATCCACCACACAATACCTGATTCATCTTCATGAGTGAGAACTAACTGAAATATTTACTTTAATTTTCTTCATGGCAAATCCTAATAGATTCCATATTTTACTGCCATACAAGACTCTCATTTGTATCGTTTCCTCATTCTCCTCTGTAATCACATTAGGTGGTATCTCACAAGGCACCTCTTTTACTTCACCTTTAACATAATGTTCCACTGCAAGAAGAAACAAATTTTGAACATAAAAATCTTTGAATGAGGGAAACGTTGGTATTTGATTGTGATTCAGGTTAGGGTGTTTCAAGTTCATAGGTGGACCATTCTGCGCACATTTTGAAATGGTTGTTATCAGACAGCTCAAGAGCTGAATCAATAGTCAATATCAATAGAGTAGCCAAGGTGTTAAAAATGGATTATGTGCTGGCAAATCATATTTTGCCTCGGTATGTCTCTAACGCATGCTTTTTGGTTCATTCAGTGTACTTTTTAGGATTCAGCAGCCCTCAAAATCTAATAGTACATGTACCAGTAATAATGTAAATCCAACAAGTTTCACATATTCCTGATAATGACATATTGGCTGTTCCCTCTCTGGACAAACGAGCTAAGCATGGAACAGAAAGGAAAATTTATTGGGCTACAGTAGGTTTAGATCTTATTATAATCCAGCTCCCCCTTGGAAGTCGAGTTGTAAGCAGAAATTGTCATATCAGTACGTGTGTCAGGTACCAACAAGGTCCCATTAAAAACAAGCACCTCCACATTCACAGAAATGTACAAATAGCTGGCAAAATATCAAGCTCCGCAAAAGCAGCTATGCCAACAAGTGGGCCACAAACATGCATCCAATCCATACTGTCTCTACATTCATATAATGTAAAACGTGTCTTTTCAGCTAGCATGTTATTTTAGCTAATCTGTAATTTCCCAAATTCAATACGTTGCTAATTTAAAGCAAGATAGTCATATCCCCTGTGGCAGAGTCTTAGGGTGATATTGTTTACAAAAAAGCTTTTTAAAGGGCGACAGTCGTCATGCCGCGTCCTGTTCGATATGGTACTCATAGCGACGTATACAACACATGTAAAATACATTGTTTATTTACATTAAATTCGAACACGTGCTGCGTGACGACCACTGCACTTAAGTTTTCTGTGGGCGTTGTAAACATCACTTAGGATTCAGTTTTCAATTGTGCACAGATGATGAAAGATGAAAATATATTGTCACATTTAGTTTGTTGCCATTTTAAGTTATATTATTCAGGATTCTGTTAATTAGTGCATTGAGCCAAATTGGCTAAAATAGCATGTAGTTATAATAAAGTGTTTTATAGTAATACAAATCAATTTTGTACAATACGTACAGATGTTGATATCATGTGCGCACACTCACGTAGAGGGCAGTACAACAGTAAATACACAAAATTCGAAATAGGACCTACTTTTGATGGAAGAGGTGAACAGTCTTGTTTTCTCCCTTTGTTTTGTGTCAAACGTGTTTATCAGAAACAACGTTGTACAGAAGAAATTACAAGTCCGTTTGAGAAGTTCTATACTTTGCTGAAACTTCGACTTATTTCGAGGTTTTCTGTTCGAAAATTGAAATAATTATTTATATTAGTGTCATACTGCGCGATGGCGACTGTGGTTCTTGATGAAGAGTACTGGTAAAAGACAATGTTACTGAAGCTTGGTATTTTTATGAATAAACTGGAAATCCTTGTCGCGACTGTGGCCGAGCATAGACGTACGAACACCACACACTATGAACCGAGCAACTCAGACCCATTCAAACCTCCATTTATAGGAAGCGAAAACGAGGCTAAACTTCATTCGTCCTCGATCGCAAGCAATACTTTCCATTACGTATAACGCCGAGAATAACTTAGTTAATTTAAAATAAAAAGCACCATTTACATTTGTAAAGATCGAAACATGACGACAGTCAAGAACATCAGTAGTGAAAAGAGTGCTTCCGTTTTGCTAGTGAAGAAGAATATAACTACACTATGATGTATTCTTTTACAGCAATCAAAGAAAATCAATATGAAGAAGGCATGGCAAATTTTACCAATTATATGATTCTTTCGACGAATGATAAATATATAAATCAATAATATTTTTAACTAAAATATCAGTATGTAAAATGCTTAATACTTACCACTCAGGAGCACTATGGTAAAATGTCAAATCGTTCACATTCTGAAAAAAATAATATAGATCATACATTGACACAACACTGACACAGAAGTATACAACAGTATCATATGTTCTCTAAATCAAAAACTAAGACATACAAAACACAATAAAAAAATAAAACTACATTAAATAAAAAAAATACATATTTTTTGGAAAAGTTAAGTAACGTTAAATTGTAATACAGACTGGGCTCGATGTGTTTTCCATATAAACTCTAGATATTTTTCCAATTTGAATAGTTGTTGTTTGATGTTACTTTTAGTATCACCATGAGTGTAATATTTTCAAAAATATTTTCAGTGTAAATAATTCATTAAATCATTTACTGATAATTTGTTTAAATCTGTAACGTTATTATTTCCATTCTTTTTACATCCTTGCTTTAGAGGGTTAGAGGGTCCATGGTTTAATAAAAACGATGTTGTAAGCCCCTCCTCTCATTGTTTTTTACTTAAGTGAGATGTTTTTATACATTTCACTATTCACGTCATATTCTAGTAAGTTTAGATATTATAAAGCATTACGCTACAGTCAAAGGCATTTTTAAACAAATCAACTTAACATCCATATAGTCACATAGTTTGTCTCTTATGAATTTATCAACTTTGCCAGTTTTCTATGGACGTCTAGACAAAGAGTATGTGTAATAGCTATTCAAACCCATCACCTTGGTCTTGTTTTATTTCCCATCAAACTACAGTTATTTTTTGGTGGGGGACAACACTTTGCAACTTTTTCATTGTTTTCCGACTTTGTGTTTTATTGATACTATGTGTAAAATTAACACACGTCTATGTATCTGTTTTGTTTTATGTGTGTTATTTCCATCTTTCCAGGTGTTTTAAAATTATATTATTATTTTAATGGGCGGTCTCGATACTACACAAACCCGCCATCAGCTACAAGAAAAATGACTGGGAACGAGGGTGCCCACGATACAGGTAAAATTGCTTGGAACGAGGATACCTACACCATCAATTTTACCGGTGTAGATAAACAAAATGGCTGGCCTGTTGTCTTGGCGCTTCGAACACCACTCACAAGATGATCGTCTATTTATCTAATTTTTAGTAAGTTATAATTGTCGTTATTATGCATAGAGCCTAATACATGTCTCTAGTTACTCGCTGATGATGTTTGATTAGTCGTGAAAGGGATTCAAATCGCAAAAGTATCGTCGTATTTGTGGCCACATTGTTGTGAACGAAGAATGAATGGCCATTGGAAATGAACAAGCGACGCGCTTACTTATAGTTATGCTAATTATTGTCTTGAGTTATCTTGTTTATTATCATTATTGAACCGCAGACGTCGTATGTACTCTTTGTGTAATTAACAAGTATAGATATTATATCAATGTACAATGATTAATATCTAAAACAATACAGACGTATTATGTTAGAAACGCAAGTCGTGACCTACTTTCAACTTGTTCATTATTACAATCCAAAAGAGAATAGTGTCAGAACGAACATCTTCTTTACTGTCAACTATAAACTCATTTTTGACTATTTATTTAAGACCTAATTACGATAGAGTGTACAAATTTCAAACCAAATTGATTGCAATGACATGTTAAAAAAAACATGCACTGTTGTCAAATTCAATTATTAAGGTAGAAGACTACACATGAATTTATTCATTTTCTAATAAATTGTACTTACAGGTAATATAAGGATGTTGTTGGTCACCACATTAATTTTCGGGGAAATGGTGGTTGTATTTTGGTGGATAATGGCCATTTTGGCAGTATTATAATACTTGCTTTTACCATAGGTTTTTATGGAAGAGATATTATGTCATATCTCAAATTGTAGGCTGGTGGGATACTTTTTGCGGTCCTTAATTATTTCAAAAATCTGGGTTTAAAAAGTGTCAAAAAATACAATTTTTCTTTAACATTGTGCTTTATTGAAGTGTTCTAAAAATAGCAATTTTTGAAAAATATTAGGACAAGTTTCTCAAAATACGTTACTGTAACACACACAAGAATGCTGTTGGTGTCTGGAGGTAATAACTTCATGATTTTACATAATAAACCAATGAACATTGTCATACAATTTATGACCAACTTTGTCAAAAATTATGAATAGGCTTCTACCTTGAGAACACAAAAATGCAGTTTTAGGAAAATTAAAAGGCAAATTCTTTAAAAAAATACCCATTGTAAACGAAATTTCAGAAAAATGTTTTTCCTTTTTTTTGGACAAATATTGGAATATAAAAAATGGTGCAATGTAGTATATTGATTATTCACGCCAAAAATACATTTCACTGTTTTATGACATCTCAGATTGATTGTACCATAGTGGCATGATCATACAGTGCATGAGCCGAGTTATGTTATACGTGAGAGCCATGGAAATGATGCTCAGGAATAAGAACATCTTCATTGTTGCGAGTTTTCCAATGATCCCGTAGAACTATATCATACGTACATGTACATCTGAGTGTAAACAAAAAGTTTATTTTTTCTCATTGCAGAATTTTGTATAGTATTTTTATTAACTCTACAAGTCGATCACTATGCCTCTACCACAGCAGACAGTGACTGCTGCGGCTCCTACCACCACCACTGCCGCCACTGTCGCTACCGCAACCACTACAACCTCCACGATGTCAACAGATAGTGCTGCACAGATCAACAAATTCCGAAACTATGCATCAATTCTGACAGATCCAAATGCACGTAAGTGCATCAAAAATCCCAGTAAGAAATACATCATACCTCTGTAGTGCCCCTCACATTGTAGTTTATGTGAGCCACATCTTATTCGCCCATAATGTAAAAGTTGTGATAGAAAGTACTGTACTGTAAACCACTTAATTTTCGCTGCTTGTTATTTCTTTGATTGGATGATTGTACACATTCAAAAGACAAAATTTTACAGAAGTTGCTGAGACTTTTTATTGTAGGAACCCAGAGAAATTTTCACTGCTATCAAATTTTGTGTAATTAAAGTTGTTTACAGTATATGAGTGTGTGTGTCATATTGCGTAACATTAGTTGAATAATCACCATAGTTTTACCGTTGACCCAAGGGTCCATGATTCTGCTAGTTTGACCCATTAGAAAATTCAGGGTGGTGGCCATTTTGAGAAACATTTTTGAAAAAAATATATATCTTGTTTAAAAACAAAATTTAGCTCAAAAATAAGTGGAGCAAACAAATAATTTGCACAGTATCCCCCCCCCCCTCTGTGACTTTCTAATGGTCTTCCCGTCTCCCTCATAAAGTGAAAGTTTCTTTAATATTACTATCATAGTTGACATTACAGATGACAGTGTAATGTTGCATGCTATACTTGTATTAGTTTACATGTTTACACTTTTATTGCTGTTGTGATTCTAAAGTATGCAACTATGAGGCATAGTTGGTTGTACAGAGAAAATAAAATTCAGCTTGTGTGTAGCTTGCATAGAAATGAACGTAGATGTGTATGTATGTTTCCTTTTAATTTAGCACTATCCATGATTAAAAACCGGAAGCAGAATGATGTAAACTTTAAAATGAGAGTCCCATAGTTTTATTTTATTTTACCATTTCATTCATTCATTCCTTTTTTTCCATCATTTCATTCACATCTTTATTCAAGGGACAATGTTCATTATGCTGATAAGATCTGACTGCTTCCATGGAAACGTATAATTTCTTCTGTTCATTTCCGGGTTCTATTATTACAGAATTGATTTTATTCTCTTTGCAGAAGATGATAGTAGGCTGAAGGCTGCTCAGGAAATTAGTGAAAACTTTGAAGTAAGTTTTTGTTAAAAGGAAAATAGCTGCAGTGATGTTTTCTGATTATGCATATTGAAAATATACTGGAAAAACTTGATCTCTAGCTATTGTTTTCTCACCACTGTAAATACCTGTCTTATCTGAACACATATTGACATATCAAATTCAAGTCTGGATTCCTGATCACTCCACGAGAACTGATGATGGAGTTATCCATTTCAACATCATAACAGCACAAGGGCTTAGCTGATCAACAGATATGTTATTTTCAAATGCCCTCAGAAATGAGGGCTTACTCCACTGACCTAAGTGATCTATTTTCATATCACTGGGCTATAGTTAGTGTCCTGTTTTAACGTTTTTACAAAAATTAGTTAATGTTCTCTAGATTTTGGTCAGTAGGAAAAATGAAGAAAATGTGTTAAATTTGTATCATACATGGCTACAACTTTAGTGAATGGGTAATGTGAAAGTACCATGGTGTATCACACTACCTGCTTGCTATGCTTTGAATGACAAAAGAATGAACAGTGGGTTTTTTGTCATTCACTGCAGGTAATTGTGCACAAAATGTTATTCTCCATGGAAAAACCATCATACATGTAGGGCTTTGTTAATTTGTGATGGTAATTTGCAAACATTTTTTTTTGAAATAAAGTACTGTGAAATACTTTATTTATAGCTGGAATTAATTTTCGCTGAAAAGACTTTTTGGGTATTTTGTATGGATTTTAGTTTCACTGATTTTTGACGAATTAAATGTAAAATATAGGAAAAAAAAGAATATTCACTGGATTTTATTTTCACTGAATCATTCCTTCAGCAAAAATAGTGAAAATTAATTCCAAGTGAAAATAAAGTATTTTACAGTAAGCACATTATTTTTTTTATAATTTCTACACTTGGACTTTTCTTGTTCTTTCCACATTTTTTTCAAAAATTTGATCACAACCTGTTATCAATAGAAAATTGTATTTATTTGGTCCAAAATTATCAAATTAATTATTAAAAAATGCATAAAATTTTCCAGCAAAACTTTGGCGGGAAAAATCATTCCACTCAAAGTGTTATAGTAATTGTGTCTTCTGATTGTTGTTTTGCAGACCATCATGTCTTCGCCTCACTACCAAGCGTTTTTAGAGCATGCTGTTCCAAGATTTTTAAAAGTTCTACAAGACGAGGAGCCACAGTTCATTGCAGAAAACAGTGCCCAGGTAATTGTCATATCATCATTGAAAGCAGTGCTTTCATTAACATGTGACTTGTCCACCTGCCATGTCTGGCCACCTACACCTCCAAGTATATACAGTGACCCAATTCACTAGAACTTCTTGGATTGAATTCTTTTGAAATAACCACTCAAGAGGGAAATTCAATATTATATTACGATTTCATTTTCTAACCAGTTCACTAAATTCGCTGCATTGTAAAAAAATTACTTGAAATGCATATACACTTGATATGTGCTTGCCCTTGATATTGATATATGATTGGTAGTGGTGCATTACCATTTGTAGTAAATTCTGGTTAAAAAGGTATGTGATCTAGGGATCTGCCCAGCTCTTTGGGAGTGCTGGTCGCTCATTAATATTCATGAGGTTGACAGACCCTGGAAATACCCATAATGTTTTGGGTGTTGAGTACTGCTTTTGTACAGAAGATACAAACTACAGAAGAAATGTGTCGTATCATTGTGTTATTTATTTTTCATTACATAGCAAAAACTATGAGGTTTTTAAAATACAGTTCTGTCGGCTGGTTATGGTCAGTTAAATGCAAAAGAAAAAATATGTCAACTTATTGCTCATTTATTTTACTATAGTGGAAACGTTGGCATTAGAAATACAGTGAGTGAGTTGACTGGTTGTGCTCAGATTCAATAAATAACAGAGGAAATAAAATAATTATTTTTCTTTGTATTTACTTTTTTTTAGTAATAGTCCTGACCAGAAAAAACACACATTTGCGGTAAAATCCATTTCATTAAATTGTTGACAATTCCTGACAAAATATGTACATGAATCCTGAATTTAAGTGGTTCGCTAGGTGAAGTCCGTGATACGACTTGTGTATAAATTACTTATGAAAAATACGGCTTTTTTCATCTCAGCCCACAATGTAACAGCAGCTGATTAGTTGTAGTTTTCCGGGGTTGGCCCGTCGATGGCGATGCGCACTAGGCTATCCAGACTTTTTTGACTGAGACGATTACGTAGTATCGTCTTGATCAATTTCAGCTGTGAAAATGTTCTTTCCGAATCTGCTGTGTGACAGGGAAGGACGCGGTAAATCTTTGCAAGTTTGGCGATGACTGGAAATGCAGCTTGCAAGGCTCGTGTAGTACACTGGGATTGGACAATAACTCCTGAATCTAACTGTAGTTGTTTCAAAATTGCGTCTTCTGTGTAATTTTTGAAGTTGGTCCACTCGTTGACGGCGTCTGCTGTTTTGTCTGACTGGTTTTCAATGAGAAAAAAATGACGATACAGCGCTCGTATTTCATCATTTCCGTAGGTTGGCTGATCAGCATTGGCGAGTTTGTGTGGGTAAAAAATAATTAATTGGGCGAGAATTCCAGTGTCTTCTTCTGGAAAGCGCTGCTCGATGTTGTTGACTGAAACTGATATATACTTGCTTCTGATGTGGCGTTGAAAAAAATCATCGTCGTCCGCGCGTTTATTTATAGTGATGTCAGCATCTTGAAGCTTGTTAATAAATACTGGTAGCTGTTCCAAATTTTCATCATCACTGGATTCCATGGCCGATAACATTGACACAGCCGATGCGATCAATGGCTTCATTGCACTGAGTTCAAACTCGCTAGCTTGGAAGGCTTGTGACAGCTTGTTGACATTTGGGAGCAAGTCGCAGAGTAGTAACATTGTAGCAACAAACCTCCACGACGTCATCAAGTTTTTCAAACCAACAGCCTTAGCGTCACCCCGTTCTTCACCTTCTCTGTCCAAGCTTAATAACACACTAATAAATGTGTTTTTTAGTCTGGTCACACTCATCTCAATACTCAGCCACGTTGTCGATGATGACTCCACTGGCTTTAATTCTTTTTCATGCAACGCAGTTTGAATTGCATGAAGCCCTGCCATACGAACTGGACTGTTGTTGAAAAAGTCATAAAACTGTCTCAAAATCGAAGTAAACCGCTTGACGTAGGGGACTGCGTTCGCTGCCTGTGACGATGCCAATTGTAGCCTGTGGGCACAACAATGAATTCCAATCGCTTTCGTTGCTAACTCTTGTAGCCGTTTTACCGTCATCACGGCTGCACCGTCTGTTCCAATACCAACAAGCCTGTTATAATCTAGTCCCTTCTCTTCCAAGTACGCTGTAATGTGTTATGTTATTGTTTCAGCTCCGAGTGTTACTCTCTAATTGTTGTCGTCATCAGGCTTCAGGGGTTCAATCATTTTCAAGAACTTGACTGTTAAATTGCCATCTGGTGTGATATATCTGCAATTTAAAGTTAATTGTTCGTTGACACTGACATCAGTTGTTTCCTCGAGCATGATCGAAAACAAATCTGACTTCTTGAGTACGTCGATGGTTTCACTCTCAAGTACAGACGAAAGAATGCCGGTCATTTCTTGAATCGACTTGTCACTACAGTATGTTGCATTTTTACTGACGTGAAGATTGTCTTTCACAGACAAATACAGCACTTGAAAAGCGGAAGTTATGGCGTCATTGTTTACTTCTGGCTGTATAACCTCGGCAATATTTTGACTGGAAATAGAAGTCAGTTCCTGTCTCGTAGCTTCGTGGTGTGCTGCTGTCTGCTCATGGTCTTTGATGCTGCCTAATCTCAGTCGTTTACATGGCGTTTTATTCCATATGTCACGATCATACGGCAACTTATTAAACTTCTGACATAACTTGCAATACATTCCATCGCCTTTAGCGAAAGTACAACCATGATTCGCGACCAGTGATCCACTCGTTGCGAAATTTCGAAGCTTGGGCTCTACGTGGAGATGATGGTTTGTTGTTACTTTCCACTCTGGATTTCTTTGGTGTTGGCACAGCATTCTCTTTATTGGAAGCAACGGTACT